GATAAAAGGAAAAATAAAATGTGGTATATCCACACAATGGAATATGATTCAATCATAAGATGGAATGCTACGGATACAGGTCACAACATGGACAAACCTTGAAAACATTCTAAGTGAAAGGAGCCAGGAAAAAGGACCACAGATAGTATGAGTCCACTTACATGAAATGTCCAGAACAGGCTATCGTGAATTAAGTTGTGCCCCCTAAAAATACATGTTGAAGTCCTAGTCCTTGGTACCTGTGAATGTGACCTTGTTTGAAAAAATGGTCTTTGAGGATGGTATCAGTTACATCATACCAGAGAAATGTGGTCCTGGTGCAATTTGAGTGGTGTCTTATAAAAGAGATAAGACTTAGAGAGACAGACAGAGGTTAAAGATGACTACATACCACACAGTTACGCTGCAGCTGCAAAACAGTGAACACTTGGGCCTACCAGAAGTCAGGAGGGTCAAGAAAGGACCTTATTCTAGAGCCTTTAACCAGAAGGTTGGTGGTTCAAACCCACTAGCCACTCCGTGAAGGAAGACTGGGCAATCTACTTCCATAAAGATTTACCACCTCAGAAACCCAAAGGGGTCGCTATGAGTCAGAATTGACTTAATGGTAGTGAGTTTGGTTTGTTTTTCTAGAGCTTTTGGAGAGGACATGGACATGCCAATGGCCTGAGTTCAGAGTATTAGCTTCTAGAAATACGAGACAATAAATTTCTGTTCTTATAGTTTGTGGTACTTTGTTACAGTAGTCCTAGGAAACAAAATGTGCTGCTGAGATTGAGAAGCATTGAGTGTGATGAGCATTTTTTAAATGAGTAGAAGAGAATAGAAAATATAAAAATTATAGCTTAGAGTATAGGTAAGTATTCTATCAGAAACTTTTAGTTTTGTGTTCACACATGTATACACGGGACCACAATATAAAAAATATATATATTTCTTACTGTGGGTTTTAGTCCAGGAGTTTGAAGATCTGGGCTTAGAAGACATCTCAGTCAACACACTAAGTGATGTAGGAATTGCGCCAGCAGCAACCAGGCAGGTAGCCTCTCTGAGGGCATGTGCTTCTCTTCTTTGAGGATGGTCCCTTCTCAACTTGGGTAGCTCTGTTGAGCTGAAGCTGCCTCTCTGAAACTCTCACGTGGGCCCCCGACACTAGTCAACCTGTACTTATCACCACTCCACAGAAGACGTCACATTTCCTCACTGCCAAGTCTTTGCTGTGCTAAGTCTGCTAGACTCCTAGGTTCCTGCTCAACCTGTCTCTACCTGATCAACTTCTATTTATCTCAATGAATTATCTCAATTGCCACTTGCATGCTCCCTCCCTCTGTACTCTTATACTTTTAAATTTTCTAACATTCAATTGGAACTTTCTTAGATTATAACTACCTGGCAGCTAGCTGCCTTAGAGTCTGAGTAGACTGTAAGCTCCCAGAGGGTGAAGGCAGAGTTTTATTTTGTATTGTATCTTTGCATCCTCTTCAGTGCCAACATATGCTCAATAAACATTTGTTGAATGAGTGATTGGCTTGCCATGTAGTTGTTATGGGGGACTAAGGCATTTGATTGCTAACCAGAAGGCTGGAGGTTCAAACCCACCAGCCACTCCTCAGAAGGAAGGTTGGGCAATCAACTTCCTTGATACCACCTCAGAAACCCAAGGTGGGGTTGCCATGAGTCGGATCTGACTCCATGGCAGTGGGTAGTAGCTTAAGTGAAGGTGAGGTGGGTTTTAAGTTGGTCCAATCTCTATTCCTTGATAAGAAAGACCGATGTTTTTTTAAAGTTATGTAAATGCAGCTTTAAGGCAAATTCCCAACCTAACTTCTGACCAGATTGGAAATTTTAGAGCCCCGACTGGTTGTCACGGAGACCATCTCTCCTCAGATGGATGAATGAATTAGTGAACGTTTACTGCATCTCTAATGAAAACCAGCCACTGTGTCAAGTGTTTTTATAAATGTTTTCATGCACCCCTAAACTGGCCCTATCACAGAAGTAGGCACACATGTCAGATGGGACCTCTGATCTTCAGCTCTCCCTAGAACAAAATATACCACCTCAGGGTAAAACAGCTCAATCTGAGGACAAAAGGAAGGGACAAGGCTTCAAGGAGAGAGGCCCCGGGGACCATGTGTTTAAGAATTCTTTTTAAAAAGAGACAAAACTATGGTCACATGCAGATAGCATGATTGTTTACCCAGAAAATACGAGATAATCAGCCAGTAAACTTGTACAACCATGAAGGGGGTTCAACAAGGTTGCTCAAGCAAGAATAATATACAAAAGCCATCACCATTACATCAGCAATAATAAATTAGATTAGAACATGCCATACAAAAAAGATTCCATTTTCCATGGCAAAATTATAAGGCCTCCAGAAAGAAATCTAATAAAAGACATATAAAATCTTTATTGAAGGACAAAAAGACCAGAATGAATAGAGAGATAGACCATATTTCTAGATGAGAGAAATGTAATTTCAATAGAAGATGTCAATGGAGCTTTCACATGGAAAAACAAAGGGCTAAGAATAATAGAGGCAACATAAGCAGAAATTTTGACAAAGTGGTAAGGGAACAGAAAGTACAGAAAGAGGAGGAGGAGGACTTGGCATCTATAAGGTACTCTTATAAGACTACAATGATTAAAACAGTGTAATATTAGTGCAGAAATAGACAAATTAGCCAATGGAAGAGGAGACAGTCTTCAAAGACAGACACATATGCATCTAGGAATGTGAATATGTCAGAAGCAGCTTTTGAAAGGAGTGAGGAAAGCCTTGTCTACAAAGAACTCTGGTGGTGCAATGGTTAAGAGCTTGGCTGTTAACTGAAAGGTTGGCAGTTCAAACCCAGCCAGTGGCTCCACAGCAGAAAGGAAAAAACCAATGGGGCAGTTCTATGCTAACTTATATGATCACTGTGCGTAGTAATTGCTGTCATACTAGAGGGAAATATGCCACGTGGGCAGAGGAGACACAAACAACATTGCAATGTTGTTTATAACAGTAAAATATTGGCCTTGTCCATCAATAGAATGGATAAATGAACTCTGATGTGGTCTTAATGGAGCCATACTATGTAGAAAGAGGTAAAGAGCTTTGAAGAAAGACAGGAGACTTGGTCCTAGTTCTTTTTCTGCTTCTGAGGATGGGACCTTATATAAGTTTCTTTTCTCTTTACATGTAATGCTATTTCCCAGATATTCTTGTGGTTTGCTCCTGTACACCCTTCAGATCTGTGTGCAAATTCCACCTGCTTAGATAGAATTCCCACTATCCATACAACCAGCAACCCTATCCCCCTAACATTGCTTTGCCAAGAGGCAGTGTACTTTAAAGGATAAGAACATAGATTCTAGTGCCAGACTGGATTCAAATCCCAGCTTTACTAAGGGCTGTTTTATGACCTTCAGCAAATTATTGAAGCTTTCTGTGACTCAGTTTCTTCCTCTGTAAAATGGGGATAATAATAGTTTTAATTTCAGAGGGTTGTTATCTGGAATAAATAAGTTAATACACCAAGGGCTTAGACAGTGCCTGATATAAAGTAAGTACTTTTTAATAGTTAATTATATGGGAGTTAAAATAAATGAACTAGACTACAGTGAAGTGGATAAAAGCCCATAAACATGATCTTGAGTGAAAAGAGCAGGTTGCGTATTTATCTCACCCTTCCCTGAACTTCTGCCATAATTAAGGGCAACGCATAATTAAGTCTAGTCCTTGATTACTTGCGTAAGCGATGTAATGATCTTGCCCCTGCTTCTCCTACCTCTTGGCCCACCTCCTCCTTCTCACCCATTAATCTCCAGTTCCACTGTTCTTGCTACTCCTACATCCTGAATGTTCTTCCCCAGATTTTCAAATGCCATGTTCTCTCACTTGCTTGAAGAGTCCTTCTCTGATTACCCTTCCTGAAATACCCCAATTATTATTCTCTGTCCCTTTCCTGCTGTAATTTTCTTTATAGATTATATCACTTTGTGAGATTTCATTGCAAGGCTACCTATTTGAATGTTTCCTCTCTCTAGAATCTCTGCTCCACAAGGGCAAAGACTTTGCCCTCAGTGCCTGGAACACAGCCCGCCACAGAATAGGTGCTCAGCAAATAAGAAAACACCCCAAGGCAGCCTATGTGTTGTTGGGAAGCTCTAGCACCAGGTCCAGACTCTTTGGGGCTCTTGGGAGCTCTGGTAGCGTAGTGCCTAAGGCACTTGACTGCTAACCAGAAAGTTGGTGGTTCAAACCCACCAGCCACTCCTCGAAGGAAGGTTGGGCAATCTACTTCCGTAGTGATACTGCCTCGGAAACCCAAGGAGGGGTCTCTGTGAGTTGGGTCCTACTCGACGGCATATAACAACAACAACCACAGGGATGTGTCTGCCCCCACTCTCCTCCCCTCGGGACTGTGCTTTTTCCTACTGAGGTCAACATCCAGGCCCCATCATTCCCTCTGGGGCCGCTGGCCTAGTAGGACAGAACTTGAAAGGAAATCTTCCATATTCTTCCTACTCCCACTTCCAGTGTCTTCCTTGACTTGTCTCTTCCCCACAAGCCCATCTTTCCAACCAGCTGGAAGCAGATTTGACAATTCCATCTCCCCCTAAGGTGTTAAAGATACAGTGTTGCTCCTTCCAAGGGTATTTGCATTTTAAAAGTGGCCCAGTAACGCTTAACTCCAACAGTTGACCTTATCCTGGTGTAATTTCTGACATCTGATGTTCGAGAAGAAGATAAGCCTTCCTGGCTTAGATCTCACCCTGTAGTTCACTCCAGGCCCTGGAGACAGGGCATCTCCCAGATACAGGCATTGAAGGAAAGGGAAAGACAGGTCCAAGTTCACACAGTAGACCAGAGACTGAGACTGGGGAACTCCCAGCCTTTGAACATCCCAGCTGCCCTTCATTTCCTGCCACCTAGAAAGGCTGGCCTGGTTCCCAAAAGCATCCTTCCAGAAACCTCCGGGGGCTCAGGGAACCCAAAACAAAGTCCTTACCCATTTCAATCCCGCAGATGGCCAGGGCTGCGATCACAGCACCTGCTGACGTCCCAGCGAAGCGATGAGCCGTGTCTAGCATCCTGGGGGCCAGGTCCCGCAGGGCGTCCACAGCCCCAGCCTGGTAGAAGGAGAGGAACCCGCTGCCTGAGAAGGAGATGGAATGAGGGGTGTCTGGGTCCCCCTTGAACACCTGTTCTTCCATCTCCTGAGCCTTGGGCCTCCTGTAGTGGGGAGGAACCTCTCTTTACCACTGGCCTGTGGCTCCCTGTCAGGACTTGCTGCCAAGTGTCCCTGCCAGGCCCGGAGCCTGGAATGCAGGCTCTACCCGATCTGCTGTGGCACCGCAGGTGGCTCAGACAGGAGCCGCCCGGACCTGTTAAGTTGCACCAGGGCTCCAGCCCCAGGATGTGGCACAGAAAGTCTTCCGGACGTGTGAGCAGGGTCTCGGTGCTGTGAGCCGCCCCTTGGCTTCATTGCTTAACTGGATCCATCACCAGCATAGTCCGCAGCCCTCTGCCCAGTCTTTCTCTACTTAGGAATGATCAAGGCTCCCTGAGCAGGACCAGGACGGAAGAGGCTGACATTGCTCAACCTTCAGTCACCACACGATGAGTTGAGTTGCAAAACCTCAGCTGATAGTTACCGGTTAGGCACGTCCCTACCTGACACACAGTGGCAGTGAGGGAGTTAAATGCTAGCCTTCTCCAGGAGGACGGTGTCCCCCCACTCCATCCCCACCAGAGGCTGGGCTGCTATATGAGGCTCTTGTTTATGAGCAGGACACACACACACTCTCCAAGGACCCACCCCACCCCAACTCCGCCCCCACATCCCCATAGCCCAACCCCCTCTCCACACCCTGGCTGAAGGCCTCTCACTGGGCACCTTCTCAGGTTCCCTGTGGTATGTGTGATGTGTTATCCAATTATTTTTATTTGTCCTTTTTACACAAGCACCCCTTTGTTTATTCACGTTTGTTTATTCACCTGTTAAGACTGGCCATGGGCAAAATTGTAAAGGAAGGAAAGATTGGTTTCAGGGGCTCCACCCACTATGGCTACCATCTCTTCTCCTGGGCCCTTCTCTGACCCTTTAATCCTTGGTCAATGCCCTCACCCCAAGTCTCCAAAGCCTTATGCCGTCTTCTAAGAGTTTTGGAGGAAATCTGTTTGAGATCTAGACCATTCTAAGTGTTTGGGGCTTCATATTGAACACTCTTCTGTCTACTTTGAAATGAGAAGTTTGAGATGGCAGTATTCAATTCCAAGGACTAACACCTTGGGATCTGGATCAGGGCAGAGAGATATTTTGGAGCCTGGGAGGGGGGTGTATACGGAGACCAGGGTTGTACACCACATAGGTTCATGCAGACCATAGTGGGAGTGCCCCCTCTGGTACTATGCCACCAGACCCTGGCAAGGAGGGGCTCTTCCACAGCCTGTACATTATATTGCATGGATGTATCAAATAGGACTGATAAGACACCTCCCCCTGGAGACTAAATAGTGGCAGGACCAGAATTAGAATTGAGACACCAAGTCCCCCACCCAAAGCAACCTCTCTGTTAGGATGTGATATCAGTGATTTAATTAGTCCCAGGAGTCCCATCAACTCTGGTGGTCTCACTGATCCATAGCGGAATTCCACAAGGAGGGCATTTCGAAGGATTCAGTTAGGAGTTTCCTGTCTTGAGTAGGTTGTTTCAGGTACATGATTGCCTCAGTTGGGAAAGAGAGTTTTCATTTGAATAACAGAGAATGAGAGAGAGAGAGAGAGAGAGAGAGAGAGAGAGAGAGAGTGTGTGTGGCGTACTACTAGGGTGGAGGGCCAGGAGGTTGAGGGGTTAGGGGGTGAGACAGAGTGGAAGCCAGTCAGCTTTGGGAAGATAGAGACTCTGCCTCCTTCCTAGGAAATCAAGTCAACTCTACTGAGTATTTCTGTGTGCTCAACTGTGTATCTGGTGCCTTGGGGGATGAGAATGAAGTGGAATCTCCACCCTCAACTCAGATACTCTAGGCTTCTTGGGGAATAAGAGAGCTGAATGTGAAATAACTGGAGAAACAAACAAACCCATTGCTGTCGAGATGACTCCTTATAGGACAGAGTAGAACTTCCCCACAGGGTTTCCAAGGCTCTGGTAGCATAGTGCCTAAGGCATTTGACTGCTAACCAGAAGGCTGGCAGTTCAAACTCACCAGCCACTTCTCAGAAGGAAGATTGGGCAATCTACTTCCATAGTGATACTGCCTCAGAAACCCAAGGAGGGGTTGCTATGAGTCGGGTCTGACTTGACGGCACATAACAACAACAACAACGAATCTTTATGGGAGCCGATTGCCTCATCTTTCTCCTGTGGAGCAACTGGTGGGTTCAAACTGCCAACCCTCTGACCTGTTAGTTAGCAGTCAAACGCTTTAACTACTGTACCACCAGGGCTCCTAGAAAATCATACAATGCAGTCTATTAGTACTAAATTGTGCAGGGCTGTGATTTATGCCAGAAGAGTTAAGAGAGGTGGGTGATGAGCATGGGCTAAAACCATCAGAGAAGCCTTGTGGTGGAGCTGTGGTTTTGAGGATTTGAGAAACTGGGTGGAGGAGAGAGGGCGTTGTAGCAAGGAACCTTATAGAGCCGGGGATGAGTGTGACAGGAGACAGTGTACACAAGAAAAAGGGCTTTGGCCCAGAAAGACATGGTGCTGAATCCCAGCTCTGCTATATATAGGCAGTGTGACCTGTGTGGCCTCAGTCTTCCTCATCTATAAAAGGGACAATTAAAGATTAAATATAAGGCTATAAAATGCCTGGCATATTGTATATCTATTATTATCAGAGGGCAGTGGGGCCCAGGCTTTGGGACAGATGGACCTAGGAGAAATGGTGGAATGAAAAGGTGAGGTTGAAAGAGGAAGAAGGTTTGATCTATGTGTGGGAGGAACTTGCTAAGTTCTCTGAAAGTAGAGTCTATGAGTTGGGAGCAACTCCCTGGCACCTAAAAACAGAGTCTTGGAAGGAGGATGAGACAGGCTGGAGGGTGAGGGTGGAGGATGGTACCCATTTACTAGGGATGTTGATGGCCAGGCTGGGGAGGCAGCTGAAGGAAGACAAGTTAATGAAGCCATTGCCACAGAGGACTTTCAGGACTGAGGACTGGTTGGATGGGAAGGATGAGTCATGGTTGTTGACTATGAATGAGGAGGGGTGAGGCTTCCTTTGGTAAACGTGGGGAAACTGGGTGGAGAATGAAAATTCATTTTACTTTGGATGTGTCTGAGACGACAGCAAGACATTGGAGCTGCATATGAGGGGCAGGGACAGCTCCAGAGAGGGGCTAGCGCCCCTACAATTGAGGCAGCAGAAAAGAGTAAGTGGACAGAGATGGGCACAGGACACATTGAAGGGAAGTCAACCTTGAACAAGTATTCTACTTCTGTGTCCTCTCAATGCTCTCAGTGAAATAAAGAGTGAGACCACCTACACACAGGGTCTGCACAGGGCTCAAGAAAGCTGAGACCCTCAAGATTGATGCCTTATCCTGACAGCTCTGGCTTCCCCAGGCTTGGCTGTTGAGTGGGTGCTGGTCCTCAATTAATGAACATATCTTCAATTTCATGGGGTTCTTGCAACCCATTTGAGGAGTTTCTGAGGGACAGTGAAGACTGCAGCAGATGTAGCACAGGCTCTAAGCAAACAAGCCAGTACCAAGCAGTTATTGTTGAGTCCATTCCGACTCATGGTGACCACATGTGTGTCTGAGTAGAACTGAGCCTAGCTCATTAACTGTTTGTACCATCCAGAGAGTCCATGCAAACAGGCAAACTGTAGACATCCAAGTTTGCTCACCATAGGGCCCTATGAGAGCTTTTAACCTGGACACCAAGTGCCAACACCACAGCACTTTCTACATGTCTGGCAAGGACCAATGGGCCAAAGGGCTTTGTCCTGTGCTTGGTGTTAAGGGATCAGGAAGGTTCATCTCATATCCCTTTGTTTCTGGTGTTATACTTAAAGCCCTAAGAACTTCCAGTGGATGACACTGAGGAAGAATCACTTTTCAACATTTCTGCACTTGATTTTAAGTCCTCTCATAATCCTCTCAAGTGTTTTCAGTTAACATCACTCATATGACTCATCGGCCCTGAGGAAATCACATGCCGATTTCTTATCATGCACAACTCCAACGAGACACCTGAAATGCATTTATGGAAGAATCTGGTGTATCCACAGTATGTTGTTGTTATTGTTAGGTGCTGCTGTGTCAGTACTGACTCAGCAACCCTATGTACAACAGAACAAGACATTGCCTGGTTCTGTGCCATCCTCATAATCATTGCTATGCTTGCGCCCATCGTTGCAGCCACTGTGTCAATCCATCTTATTGAGGACCTTCCTCTTTTTTGATGACCATCCAGTTTGCTAAGCATGATATCCTTCTCCCAGGGCTGGTTCCTCCTGAAAATATGACCAAGGTACAAGAGGCAAAGTCTCACCATCCTTGCTTCTAAATTCATTCTGGCTGTACTTCCTCCAAGATAGATTTGTTTATTCTTCTGGCAGTGTATTGTATATTTAATATTCAACACCATAATTCAAATGCATCAATATTTTGGTTTTCTGTATTCATTGTCCAGCTTTCTCATGCAAATGAGGCACTTGAAAATATCATGGCTTGAGTCAGGCACACCTTAGTCTTCAAAGTGACATCTTTGCTCTTTAACACTTTAAGGTTAAGGTCTTTTGCAGCAGATTTTCCCAATGCAGTACGTCATTTGATTTTTTAACTGCTGCTTCCAATGGCATTGATTATGGATCCAAGTAAAATTAAGTTCTTGACAATTTCTCTGTTTATCACTATGTTGCTTATTGGTCCAGTTGTAAGGATTTTTGTTTTCTTTATGTTGAAGTGTAATACAAACTGGAGGTTATTGTCTTTGATCTTCATCAATAAATGCTTTAAGTCTTCTTGACTTTCAGCAAGGAAGGTTGTGTCATCTGCATATCGCTGGTTGTTAATGAATCTTCCTCCAATCCTGATGCCATGTTCTTCTTCTTATAGTCCAACTTCTCAGATTATTTGCTCAGCATATAAATTGAATAAATTTGATGAAAAGATACAATCCTGATGCATACCTTTCCTGATTTTAAACCACACAATATCCCCTTGTTCTGTTAGAATGATTGTTTATTGGTTTATGTACAGGTT